CGCCAGACCTGGACACAATACTCCAGAACTGGACACAATACTCCAGACCTGGACACAATACTCCAGATGCGGCCTCCCCAGGGCTGAGTAGTGGAAACACTTCCCGAGTGTTTCCATGCAAACAGCGCCCAGCATCCGCCCCGTTGGCTCGCGGAGCTCGCCCGGGCTTTTAAGATTAGCAGCAATTACTGGCGACGTCCTGCGAGGACAGATGTTTGCAGCTTTGCATACCACGCAGTTTACATTATGTCAAGAGGACACTGTCAAGACTGTCAGCCTCGCGCTTGACCCACCTTGAAGTCGCTAAACTCTTGTAAACTCCTAGCGAAAATCCGCCAGGTCATTTATTTTTAGGATTTGTTGAGTGTTTTAAAATATATATAATATACAAAAAAAAAAAAATTAGTCTCCCCTTTCTTTAAACCTCCTCCTTATCCAAATGTCAGCTGCTTAGGGCAGGAAAGCAGGGAGAAGTGTTATCCCTGTCTGGAATCTCAGCAGGGCCGTGTCTGAAACGTGGGCCCTGGAGAGGGAAGGTGAGGGACACCCCTAAACTGAATATCTGCAGCAGGGCTCCCCCTGCTCCAACCTCACCGTGCTTTGGGTTTCTGCTGAATCCCCCCTCTCGATGGGGTTTAATGAGCTGCTTTTCCCTGGATTCGGGGTGCAAAAAGGGGGCATCCAGCATTACCGGTCAAACGAGGGCCTCTCCCCGGCGTCGAAGGCGTCGCGGAGCCGCTTCACCAGGTTGTCCTGGCCGGGCAGGCGGAAGATGCCCTCCTCGCTCGCGCCGTGCTCGCGGATGAACTCGGCGCACTTCTGCACCACGATGGGCACCTGCTGCTGCCCGAACTTCTGCTCGTAGGCCACGGTGTCCGCCAGGCGCTGGCCGAACACGGCTGCGGAAGGACACGGCGCTGCGGAGCTTGGCGGTGGGAACGCCAAGGATGACGCTGTCTAAACCCTGGTTTTGGCTTCTGCACTTCAACAGCAGCTCCGAGTTGCTGGGATTAGTGTTCAGGGGCTCCCCTGCTTCCCGCCCTTGCCGTTCTTCAGCAAAAGGTCAGTAAAACCAGCTCATAAAAGTGAGCTGCAAAAGCCCTGCAAAGGTTTGGGGCTCCTTCCTTCTCCCTGTCACCCCCCAAAGTGGTTTGCTCCCTGCTAAGCAGCTGAAGCTTTGCATTTCCCTGCACATGGCTTGCAAGGGCCTAAAAAACTGCCCGCTGGGTGAGCGCAGCAGAAACAAGGGCTGGGCGCTCCGAAAAGCGGGACGAGGAAAGGAGAAGGTGGAAGGCAGGGATTTTTTTCCGTGCCTTATTCCTCACGCCATCACTGACCTGTTGAATCGAAGCCGTCCTCGAGATTGGCACTTACCAAGGGGACATGAAGTGCCCCAAGGGGCTCCAGCTGAGCCCAAAGATGCTCCTTGGTGCTCAGCTGCCCTTCACTCTGCCCACGTTTATACCAGACCCAACAGGGCCGGTCTATGGGGTGGTTTCAAAGGCAATTACTGCACGTAACATTGCAGATTGCAGTGTGATTATTGCAACGGGAAACGGGAGCGTTTACCTCCGGAGGCCGAGCCGAGCACCCTGCGGATGGATTTCACCCACTCCTCCATCTCCGCCTGGGAGCTGGCCATGAGCACGCAGGAGTCCTGCCCGGCCCGGTTCTGCTCTCCGGAGGCCCCTGCAAAAAAATCATCATTTGTAAAGGGAACCACAGGAGGCATCACGGCCTCTGCTGTGCATTTTTGGAGTCTCAAACGCTCCGTTAATCCCTATTTTCCCTGCAGGAGGAAACAGCACTTGGGCGTCTCGTTTGTGCTGAGGCTGCTCAGCTCGAGAACAAAAACTGCAGCAAAACGATAAGGCGATCAGCAAGCTTTCCGTTATCGAAAGGAAATGAAACCAAACCACGAAAACGCCCTTTCCGACTAGTTTTTGGAACCTGCTCTACCAGGTCTGCAGCAAGACCCGGCCCTGGGAGCCTCCCCTTCCGACGGCTCCGGCCTCGCGGCCCTCCGGAGCTCCGGAATCCCCGTTCTCACCTGGGATGATCTCGAAGATGAACCGGCCTCCTTCCTCCGTGCCACCGGCCACCTCCCTGACGGTGCTTCCCTGCAGGGACACGCAGCCCTAGGGCCAAGCAGGGCAGGGCTTGCAAAGGCTCCTTTTCCAGCTGCCCAAATCCCCCCTCTAAACAACCTCCTGGAGCTGCTGTTTGTTTTTCCCATTGCAAAAAAAAAATATTGTAAAAAAGTGACTTTTCAAGCAATAAGGGACAATTCTTAAGCACCATTTCTTTTTCTGATGAGCTGCTTCTCAAGCTGAGAAAGCTGGTTATTACATACTAGTGCATTATAGTATACTTTATTTATTAGCACAGTATACTTTATATATTAGTCTATTATGTTTTATTCTTCTTCCTTTTATCTGCTCTTCTCTTGGGAATTCTCCTCTTGGGAATGGAAGAGGCTGGAGGAGATGGGCACAGCCAAACACGGGAGGAAAGAAACCCGGTCCTTTTACATGGAGTCCCTTGAACCAAAACCCAAGGGGAAGGGGAGCGCAGGGCCGGCCAGCGGGATGGGAGCAGCTCCGAACCCTCCGGTGAGAGATGCCGGGGCCGTGAGATTTCGCTTTCCGTTTCCATATCCCTTTTTCCAGCTGGAAAACCCTCCCACCATCAGCACCAGCACCCGCCTCTC